TTTGTTTGCTTCTGTAGCAGCGTTAGCCATCGCCCCATGTTCAATAAGCAGCGAATGCGCTAAAGGTATCACGGACTACACGTTATGAAAGCATGTCCGATTGCTAGCATTCTCAAAAAGATCAGCTTTTATGAGACGTGATTTACATAAATTTATATCACAACCTGCATAGCGGACGTACCTTCATGCAATAGAGGAATTGTTGATAAGGGAGCGTAAATAAACAATTCCTTGCATTATGCATTAATCTTATACGCGTCTACACACTTGAATTCTTGTATGTTCTTCCTATACAAACATATTGGAACGCATGTGCTGCTTGCCCGTCCGATTGCACATGCAGAAGTATGACAATGTAGGAATTTGAGGGTTGATTCCTTCCGCCAGGCAGTAAATATAGGAGATACAAGCACACTCTTCTTGGGGTAGCGCTCTTTCATTCTTATCGTTTGAGGTAGTCCAAGATGTACCAGTTTGTTCTGAAATGTCAGGTCATGTGCAAGATGCCAAAGAAAAATATTTTATTGGGATCGGCATTGGGAAGGTGATTTGGCATCTGCACAACCGATTTTTAATAATATGAACGATAACCAGTGGGTGCAACAATCGGCCGATGTGGTTGCTTGTATACAAATATTCATGTGTGCACGAGGTTATGAAAATTTGTATGCTTATGATTTAGACGAGCCCGATTTCAATCGATGTGTACAAAAATGATTCATTGACCTAATTAATCATTAGCCAAAAGTGTGCACTTCGATATCTGTTTGAATGAATTATCTAAATTATAGATCTCATCAGAAGCCGGTAAGAAAAAGCTTGAATGCATTGGTTGAAAATACATACCTACAAATTGATTGAGACAAGCAGATTACATAAAATTAGATCAAGTGGATTTTAAAGCTCGTCAATGTTACTCTAAACAAGCTAACACTAAAATTGCTGCAATAAGGAGCCATGAAGTCATGAAGTCTTTCAGGTTCAGCCAGGAAAATCATCAAGGTGTTTACAAAAGCATCTCAATTACTGGATATGGAATAAAGTGGTCTCACTTTTCTGAATTAGCTGAAGGGAACAGGACACAAGAGCCAAAAATGCTCGGTGGCCTGGATACGAATGGAACTCAGAAATTTGTTTGGATTTTTTAGAGTAAGAGACGATAAATGAGTTGTTGTTGAAAGTGGTACTATGGAAAAATAGTAGTGACGATAAATGAATTATGTATTGACCATCATGCCCATTCTTAAGCAAGTTATCTATTTGCGCTTCCGGTGATGTATATCCCTTCATCCTTCTAGACGAATGTGTCTGACCATGCAAGTTGTTTAGGATATAGAATTTAATAAGGTGAAATACAGGCTTTCGGCATTGCATGCGGTCTTTTGACGAATTCATACCCTTTAATATTTACCAAAGGAGCATTCATTTTCCACTTTCGCCTTAATGTTTTATAGAATTACATTTTTCCTCGTTCATGCATGTTAGTTCTTGGGAGATTCATCCAAGATAGTAGCAATAATGGAAAAAAAGAATTTCTATAAATAGGCTAGTCTATATTTTCAATTCCTTGTCAGATTCCGACGAAATGAGCAGGTCTTTATGTCGGTCAGTTCACTTCTTAACGGAAAATATAGGCTATCCTTTTTCTAAACCCCATCAACGAAAGAGCCCACACGGCCTACTAAGTATTCCAGCCTAAGAATACAACTTACTCTCCTTTAAGAAAATAACAAATATTTCCGACTGCATATTGGAATAGTCGAAAATCGAGCCGATTAACAAGCATGAATGAGCAGAAGCACTGTTTTTATCAGTAAAATTCATTGTGTATTTAGATGAAGTGTAAAACAGGAGTGTTTTTTTCGAATATAGTCTTGGCACTAAGATGAGGGAGGGACAAATGAAAATATAAGAAATTAATTTAGGCCGTACTGCGATTTTGTTTTTTTATCACCTATACCTTTCTCCATTCAGGCATATTTGAAAGAGATTAAACTTAAAAGAAGAAAATAGGTTACACGATATTATCTTCGGATAATTTTCCTAATGGATTGCAAGGATGCTTATGGAAATCCTCTAATGCCTTTTTGTGCATTGTCACATTTCCTTATAAGCTTAATTGCAGAAGAATCATGCTTCCCGTTGATGAGATGCAAGCTTAGTCGTTTTCTGGTTAACACTAAACTGAACCAAATTTATCTCGTTTCATTCATATCCATCCGATCTAGGATTGCAATTTTGAACGATGAAGACTACGAGTGGAGAATCAGTCAATAAATATTCTTTGTAAAGTTTTATTTCATAAAAAAAGATGAAAATTACACTTCCTCGTCAATGAGAGAAAATATATGTGTAAATTGTATTATTTTTTGAGGCAATGTCGTTTTATGTAAGAAAATTTGCTTTTTAATGAATATTTCACTTCAGTTGCATTTTGAATGAAAGTATGAGGTGGTACATGGGTGATCTTATATAAAGGCGAATGCCTGCTATCGTCTAGTTTTACCAGTACTATTAGTTTTACGAAACTCTCGAAACAACCATCTTCGGTTCCAGTTAAAATATATCAGCTTACATATAGCGTGTGAAAGGCATATTAAATCCTGGAGGCCATTCTTATTATCCCTTAGCACGAAGTAGTTGTAAGGATAGAACTCGGCTTTGAGGATGCTTTCATACGACAAGCAAAAGCTTAAAGCTTTTTCCCTGGAATAAAAGGAGGTTGTTTCGAGGAATGTTTTAACCAGAATGTGCCAGTAAAGCTAAATGAGAAGAAAAGAAGTATTCGCGGTTATCTTCTGGTGAAATGGATCTAAAAAGTCTTCATTGTATACTTTATTTTGCTTCATTTTATCCTAACCTTTTTATAAGGTATCTTTTATTTATATGTCCCAGAATTATTGAAAGCAAAATAACACATTTAGGACTTTTAGTGAACACAAAACAATTATCTAAGCATCCAGCTTTGAATTTACTAAAACACATCTAAGTTAGGATGTTAAGATTGAATCTACTACCAGTTCTTCATCACCTTAAACGAAATAAGATGAATAAATTTCATATAACTAATTTACTGGCAGTCTCGAAAGTCTACTTATATGCGAAAAATTAAATATAGTGTTGTTCCTTTGCCATCATGTTCAATTGATGGCATTACGTAGGATGATCGGTGAGATTCAGTTCTTAAACTTCTGACTACTTTTCGACTCTTTTTTTCGTAAGTGAGTAGGTTTCGAGGCTACCTGTGAATCAGATATATGAGTTTTGCTCACTCTATTTCGTTTAAGGTGATGAAGGACTAGTAGTTTAATTTTCCCACATTGATATGAGTAGACCTGAGGTTTCCATTGAATTTCACATAGCCTTTTTACTTTCTTATATGAAACCGATTTTGATCTCGATAGTAAGCTAGACATTATCCCAGTAAGAAAGGTCACGTGAATAATTTTGAAATGGTATCTTTGACGAGATTACTAAGTTGTGGCTCACACCAAATATAGTATATCCCATGTGAGCAAATTAGTTTTAAAAGTAGTTGGTAGCTCTCAACAACTCTAACAGCTTCATAGCCGAGAAGTTAATGTTCATTGTCTGCTGACTAGAAAAGAGGCAATACTAATGTTAAAAATGAGTATGGAATTTATTGGGTAAATCATCATGAGGTCTTACTCTAAAGGCTGACAGTCAAATGCCTTTTCATCTTGCCAAGCCTGATAAAAGTTTGCTGAGGCAGCTCTATAACGTATTGCCAGCGAAACCTGTAAATGTTTGCTGTTTTGCCGTTTAGCCTACTTTGAAAGATAAATGCCACTTCCATAAATAGTTTGGGAAAACGCAAGAAGATATATACATTATCTATTCAAAGCAATTAAATAATGGCCATACAAAATGATACCATATGGTATCATCTGACTTTTACGATGTCTGATATTTTCCTGAAAAGAACAAAAATATCTCTGGGTATATAGACCAAGATGATTCGGCGTTTTGTATGGTCGCAGTCTCCTTTTGTTGTATAGAAGTTGTTTGGACCTGTTTTCGCAACTTGGTCATATTGGTGGAAAGACCTAGAGGAACGCAGCTAGTCCGGAGTCTATTGTATGCATGAGAATCTACAGAGTCGGACCGTGGACGTGCTACATTCCCAGACACTTCGCCAGCATCGTGGTCGGCATCTTCAGTGATCCTTGCCAGTCCTAGCACTACACTACAACTCGTTAAAGAGACAAGTAAAGTCGATCGATTAACCAATTGCTGCTAAACAGTTTTGGTATCACTCCTTGCGTCCTGGACTATTCATCATTCTTCTATCCTCGTATCACCCTTTCACTATCACAATTTCTTAATTGTTTATTTAAATGTGGTATGGTGTGCCCTTTTTAGCGGGTTTCATGAGAACTCTCCATCACCACACTGGCTTTCTCACCCCCCTCACTCCGCAATCCTCCTCTCATAGGTCTTATCAAAGTCTTCCTCTTGCTCCGTAGGATCCGTCTCCTACCTTCTTGATTCAGGTATTTCACCCGACCCCTGCTACCTTTTTTTCACTACTCTAAGGGTTATTTCCCACACTGGCACTAGAGCTAGTTGACTAACAGTAGACGTATTGTGGCATGACTCTCCATTTCGAAAGAAAAATTGGTTGAAAAGAATTCGTTATCATCACGACGAGGTCCATGAAGCAAAGACTTGACCATGAGAATTATTTGGGCTCTTTAGCCTCATGTTAGTCTCTCATCCAGCTTGAAAATCCTGATTTTTAGGGGCCTACTCAGCGAGGCGGGAGTATGCGTGCCAGCAAAGGCTTGAGGCAGTGGGAAATAGCTCTTCGAGTAGTGCAGATAGGGTGGCAGTTGTCGAGTGAAATACCTGAATTATGAAGGTAGGAGGCGGACCCTACGGGGCAAGATGGAGACTCTGATAACAAATATGGGAAGAAGATTGCAGAATAATATGACAGACTTTGATCAACATTCCCACACAAGTGTGAAATGGGATGAAGGTATGAGAAAGCCAGAGTTGGGTGTGATAGTTCTCATGAAATCCATTCAAAATGGCAAGCAATACTACAGTTAAATAAACAATCTAGAAATTGTGATAGTGAATGGGTGATACGAGGATATAGGATTGGTGATCAGCCCAGGGCGGAAGGAGAGATACCACGAATGTTTAGCAGACAATTGGTCAAAGGATAGGCTTAATTTGCCTCTTTGACGAGTTGTTGTGTGGGTCTTAAACTGGCAATGCTCACTGATGATGCCGGTGAAACGTCTGGGAAAGTACCACGTCCACGGTCTGACTCTGAAAATTATCATGCATACTATGAACTCCAAACTAGGTGCGTTACTCTAGATCTTCCTACCGATATGACCAAATTGCGAAAAAAGGGTCATCGCCTGCATATACAAGCTCAATAAAAGGTAAGGTGAATTTCTTCATTCTTATAATGTTTTGGGCCAATCTCATCTTGGGTGGTCTATAACAACTAAGATTTTTTAAGAAAATTTCCTCTTTATTTTTTTCCATAACCTAGTTACAAATTTATGCATCGACTGCTCAAGTTAAATAATATTCACACTATGTAGACTTTTATTTGCATGCTCCTACCTAGCTTGAAGTTTTCCAAACCTAGCAGTATTTTACTTAGTTCTCAATGCTAAACTCGGAGTACCCTTTGCATTTTATGCTTCGAGCTATTTACCTGGACTTAGCTAAATAATTAGCTGATTCGTTTTTAGCAACGAGATATATATCCAAATAACTCATTTCTTTATTAATCCTTTCTGTCCAGATCCTCATCCCGCCAAATCACCAAACTCGAGCTGAACTCGTGATCACGGAGGACGAGTATGATGGTTGCTTCCGTGTAGAAAGCATAATCGAGGGCTCAGTTGTGGTGAATCTTCGAAGTAAAAAGGATGGAAGCATAGTCTGCCCTATTTTTATAGGCAATATGTCTGAAGTATTAACACCAGAGCATGGATTTCAGCCGGTACCAGAATCCCCAGGTGCAGTGATCTTCGTGAATGAGGGCAGATGCCTATGTAACTTTGGTATATCTCAGCATGTAGAAATGCACCAAACCCCAATTCATCGAAAGGAATAATTATTGTCCCTTAATACATATACTACTAACTAAATTTAGTAGTAAACAAAATCATATAAACTTTTCTTGCATTAAATGAGCTTTTCCCTTGTTTATACTGGATATGCATTAACATTTGCCATAAATAAACCGATTTAACACTATAATATATTAGTTTTTTTAAGAAAAAATCAAAGAATTCAGACATTATGGATTTCAATGTGATCTTATGGCATTGGTATTTCGAAGGGATGGAGATAATTAGCAATGTGATATGTCAGCAATTATCATAAAATGCGAACAAGTATGGGTTTATATTTCTTCTAATTAATTTAAGCATAGTGACGGCTTGGTGAGAGTACTTTCCGAATAGTGACGTACTTCTAACTTATTTTAACCCATAATCGAGTTGGTAAAGGTGTTAATTATGTTAAGGTTGTTCTTTGTGGCAATTTAGCGCCTAGCCTGAACCTCGAGTTCTGATATCACCTAACTTGAGGTAACACACCATGAGAAATATAGGGCTGAATTATGCTGTTTATAAAAGAATTTGATACATCTTAATTCATCTGATTTTGTATGCTCGATATCCAAGGGATAGACAAAGAATTAATCATACCAGAGTCGCCGATTTTGAAGTACATTGCTTCAAGATGTGCTATTAAAAAGAAATGCAAAATAATGCAAGAGACAATCTGCAAACATCTTTTATTAGGATCTTCATAAAAGCATTCATTATAGGATTACAGTTTAATTAGTCATTGTGGTAACTTGTCTTAGACTATTCTAAAGATAATATACATATGTATATGCTATATAATATATAATATAAATCTGTATTTGGAAACGGAGAGTCTCGACACAATTTTCTTCCTAACAGGCATTACTTCGACATTTATTTCAATAAAATCTATTTCCACAAAGGGACTTAGTTATAATTTTTGAAAATTTAAGGAAATATCGAGTAGTAATAGTTTTATTCCATATCCGAAAGGAAGGCTTCCTTTTATTATAAAAGAAAGCCAATTCTTATCTTAATATACCGTTTGTCTCGAAATTATGCAAGCCACAAGGTCGCAATCTTCTTTTTAACCTATATATGTGTTAGCTTGGATTTGCTACACTATCCCGTGTGACGTGACAAGGAATTTGCACTTAATCCTTAAAACAAAAGAATATCATGATATTGCACCATTACTGATCAACTTAGATTGTCATGTCGTTTCATTCGAAGACAAGTTTTAATACTGCTAGTACGAAATCCAATAGGAGTTATCCTTCAGCCACAGAATTGCATTGTCCCATATAAACTAAAAATCGAAATGAAATTTCTTTCGATAATTTATTCTCTGTCTGAATGTATTCTCGAGGCATCAACAATAACTTCCTGAGGAGCCAAGTTATCATCCTTTTGTCGCTATATTAGGATTCAATATAACCGACCATCTTTTTTTTTCTTGGTAGCCTTCTATACCTCAATTAATTCTTCTTGGAAAACTAGCAAAACTATATTCGGTAGTCACCAAAGACCTGTCCTATAGCAGAACCAAGTTGTTATTTCGTTGAGTGCATCGGTCTGTTTTACTATTTTCAAGGAGCTGGGTCAATAAAGATGATAATTAAAATCAATCTAGTCAAACACTTCGTTTCTCAGGGCAACAGTGCACTTGGTAATGAGCGTGTACAGCAGCTTAGCTTCTTAAGGAGAACTAGCCCATCTCAACCTGCAACAAGATTAAGCCAAATATATACCCAGGTTAAAAAATAGTCAGAAATGGCGAGTCTCATTATTCCATAGGACGGATATCGGCTGGTAACTTTCTGAAAGCACATGTAAATTTTGGTTGCTCGTAACCACATCATTAGTATCAGGCTTAAGTAAATTGGCCAATGAGGGAGAAATATTAGATATGCTAAGGCTGCTATTCACAAAAACTTCCATAGATATCACTAACCCACAATTCTGGCTTCTGACTCTACTTATATCGTAATATCATTAACTAAAGTAACTATAAAACAGAAAATTTCTAAAGGTATTGACTTCACTTGTCTCTTTGACAAATTGTAGCTTGGTGCTGAGAATAGCAAGACTCATTGACGATGTCGACTACGATGCAGGAGAAACGTATGGCAATGCACCTAGTTTACGGTACGACCCTGGGAATTATGATAACTACAATAGTAGAGGACTTCGGACAAGAGGCGTCCAACTAAGAACCTCTGATATCATGACCTAGTTGCGAAAATGCGGCCAGACCACATAGATACATCGAATGGAGACTGCGAACATACCAAATGCCACACCATCATGGTCTTCATATATACGCTTAGGCGAAGAATGCCTGTAAAAACAAAAATATTAATATATAATCTGCAAAATCTGGAGCTTGCTTGTCCAAATCCTTCACACCATACAAGAGGTGCCTCAAAAATATTCACATTGACTATAATAGGATATAGGAAATGTGAATAGCTCAGAGCAGAAGGGGCGATACCACAACTGTTTAGCACACGTTTGTTCAAAGGATCGGCTTCACTTGTCTCCTTGACGATTTGTTGTGTGGTGCTAAGAATGGCGAGACTTACTGACGATACGGCAAAACGTCTGGGAATGTACCGCTTCCACGTTCCGACTTAGAAAATGATGATGCATACAATCTACTCCGGTCTAGGTGCGTTCCTCTAAGTCTTCCTACCAATATGACCAAGTTGCGAAATCAAGGTCAAACAACTTTTATACGACCAAAGTAGACTGCGACCACACAAAAGGCCAAACCATCTTGGTCTTCATATCTTCGATTAATTTGTTATTTCCGATCGAGATCCCTATTGTAGGCAGTTCGCCTATATTGGACCCCCAGAGTCCTTGACATCACGAGATTTCTGAATGTAATCTCAACCAATACGCTCTAGATGAGCTTAAATCTAAGTTTCGAGCTGTCGTTGTATGACTTTGAGGGCTACCAAAATTAGGGAGCCTAAGGTGTGGTACGTTGTAGTTTGCGGTTTTGGACGAAATGAGATCAAAGATGACGATTTCCCACTTCATGAGAAGTTCTCTAAATAGTAAGGACAAAATAAAAGCCATTATAAGAAAGGAATATGTACCTATGTAAACTCATTATAATGAAGTTTCCCCCTAAGGGCCTACAACATTAGTGAACATGCAAAATATGGAAGTGGGTTGACCTCGTTGTCGCAACTTGGTCTTGTGTTCAGGGAGACTATGTAGAACGCACCG